GTTGACTAATTTATCCCTGACTTCCCTTGATAATATTCACCCTGTTTTCTAAGTGCTGCTAGTCATTCATGTTAATAAACACTTAAAATATGTCGAAGAACCCTCACACCTATTTGGAATGGATACTGTAGAACATGAGATGACGAGCAGGGTTTAATTCACACAGCAGTCATTTTTCAGTAAACCAAACTGTTCCGGGAGCAAGCTTAGGGTCCTCACTGCTAAGCAACTCCTGCATCATTCCTTCACTTCAGCAACAGAGTAGTGATTTACTTCCAGCATCCTCCCAGAGACAAATGAAAGGCTGGCCACTCTACCATCAACATCAAACACCACATAATATGCGATGTTTCTAATCAACATCATATAACATTAGTCTCCATAGGACAGAAAAGAAACAAACCACTATAGTCACAGAGGGCAGAGACACGTCAGACAAAAACAAAAGAAAACAGTCATGGATAACAGAGAATTCTGTTAAGCCACCACCATTTAGAGTGTACATTTAGTTCTATGTACCCACTTCAGTAGGAAAAAGTGTAGAAAACAACCATGAAGGGCATGGTAGCAATATCTTGATGTGTTGGCATCAACGACATCAGTAAAATCCAAGGACCTGGATCTTTAAATGGGTGCTCCACAGCATTGCTACAGTTAAGCAGATAGGGCTGTGCTGTCTTTACACTAACAGCTAAGGAGCTGTCCTTGGAGCTGAATGCTTCAGCTATAAGAGGAGGATATGCAGTTAGCTTTAACTTGTCTCATTAACAAAGAACAGGCAAACTTTCTTATGTGTGAGGCAAGCATAAACGCCAGAATTCAGGCAGCTAGCTGAAAACAGCAGATTTGTAGTTGCTTGTCAGCAAAGACAACAGAAGTAAGACATACTCCATAGTAACAGCAAAATGGGAGGCTATGAGCACAAATATTCACACAACTTTATTAGAGCGAGAAATACTTAAAATATTTCAATATTCTCAAAAAGCACTTAATTCACATTTCCAAAAGAAAAGATTTTCACAGAAGCATTTGTCTTTTACACCCATAATTAGTATTTTGTGGACAATTTTCTAGAGGCATAAAGCGTAGATACTTAAAACACTTACACCTCACCATGTTCTTTCTTTAGTATAAGCATACTTATATATATAAGTATTATATATAAGTTATTATATTATATATTATTATATATTATATATTATATATATTATATATATTATTATATCATATATTATTATATATATTATATATATATAATATATATATACGTATATAAGTATATATATATATAAGCATATAATTATTCATGCCTTCAGTACTCCTGAGTGTAGCACAGTTATTCAGATAACATGCCTATATAATCCTTAGAGCATACACTTAAGATATGATGCACAAAATGCTTAAAATCTTTTATCTAGAGATAGTATTTATTACATGAAAAATACCCCTTTGTATGCAGATCTATTTAAATCCTATGCAATTAAAAAAAAAAAAAAAGTTGTTCTCTCGATAAACCCTATGGAAATGAAGTTTCTCTCCGCACACTACTTTTGTGCTGGTAGAAGGTTATACTTCAAATAAATATGCTACATCAGTTCCATGCCTCTTTCTCTGAAGTTCTTATTGCTAGGATTTCATTTGCAAAGTATTTGAGCACAGTACATAACTCAAGCAGGTTCTTGTCAACATGCATTAACACCTTTTACTGCTTCATTTATAAGAGGCATTTCCTCCCTGCTCCCTCCATAGCATTTGTATTGAAGCTCATTATTCTACAAGTTGCATTGATGTTACTGTGTGAAGTTCAGACTTAACAAAGCTGCTCATCTACATACTGCAATACTTTAAGTAGTTACCTATTGATTTTTGTTTCTTTAAAACCATTATAGCTGCTTCTATATTTTTGTTAAACACCCAATCTAAACGTAGAAGATGGCACACGGATGCAACAGAGTTCTGCAAAGAACCTCATAAAGTTTTAAAACTATCTAGCTCAATTAAAAGAAATGCATTTCCTTCTTTTTCATGTAGAACATGAAATAAATTCCATGTCTTAAGTGAAATCCCCTTTTTTAAAGAAAAAAAAAAGATGCACCCTGTGAATTAATGTATCATGTTCTAATCAATATCACAAAAATAGTTGATTTGGTTTTCCACATTTAAGAACTTCTAGAAGTACAGTAGCCTTATGGCAATTTCTGGACATAAGCATTTTAAAAGACATGTTAGAACTACTCAATTATAAAATCAGACAGCAGTATTTTTAGCAAGACCTTTCTAAGCAAGCCATTTAAGATATATTACACATAGGTGCCCAGAGTCCTGTCATATATCTTGAGCATGGATGATATGTCTGCAAGAATGCTTGTAGTTTCATATCAATTTTTCAAATTTTATTAATTGGTTTAATAGTCCCGTGACACGCTTTTTTTTTTCTTTTTCTTTTTTCTTTTCTTAAAAGATACTAGCTATTTTGGCCCTCAAAGTTCATCATTTTATTAAAAAAATAATTTTTTAAATGGCAGCATGACTCTTAAAAGACAGAGATTTTTAGAATTAGTCTTTCTTTAATGCTCACCTCAATACTGATCTAAAAGATAAAAATACTTGGATGGATGAACTCCAGCCATTATGGCTTCAGATAAGTCTATACGCATGCATTTCCCCAACATTAATACAAACTCACTGTCTTTCAGTTTGCAAAAGATTGCTCCTGATTTGATGTCTGAAGGTGGATTCATTCCCATCTGGTAGACTAAGCACCTTTTTGCATTATAAGACGTATTACATTCAGTAACTTTCTGAAAGCTTTTTAAGTTGGCTGCTTTTTGTGTTGGTAGATTAACTGCCAAAGTTCTCATTTGGTGAGTAGTAAACATTGCTAGTGATATTTGCATGATCAGTAGGCAAAATTCAGGTCCTTATTCGAGTGACTGCATGATTCAGTAGTGATTTGTCTTCTGGCTAGTTTCTCAGTTTCATCTGTGCTTTTGAAAAATAATAGTACAAATTGTGTGTAACAAAATTTAAACCTACTGACAGGTTTTATTATGAAACCTACGTTTGGGCCCTTTAAAAACTTTCATCATTATCCTAAGCTGAGTGAGTGTGAGCAGATTTATGATTTTGGTTGGAAATGATGCTGAGCTCAGAGGTTTCATATCATTTAATGTGAAACCAGGCAAATCTTAGCAATTTTGTTTTACTTCTAATATGTACTTTTGCAAAAGTTCAAACATGAAATGCAAAGGAGGGCTAGAGAGAGTAAGAACAGACAAAAGACTACATGAATCTCTGGAAACAAGTGGTACTTCACCTTTCTTGAAAAACTGGAAGGATGTACACAGGTGGAATACTCAAGAGTTGCAAACACTATGTAGATTGTAATTTTCACAACATTCAGTCTTGAGTTATGTTAGTATCAAGGTCCCCTGGTCATCAGCTTCAAATGACCAAGGTAGCCACTGTAATTTTCTGTGGTCAATGTGATACACAGTCTCCTTTTGCTTAGGTGCAGCATGCTTACAGCCTTGGCGAGTGCACAGAAGGATATTACTATTACTGGTTCCTATGGAGCATTAAAGCTGTACTCTTCTCGGAGATGATGGTCCCTTCACTACTGATATAAAACCAGCCATTGAAGTAAAATGCATGACACAGGAGATGAGATTTTTGAGCAGAAAAAAATTGAATGATCCCACAGTGAAAAGGCAAATGCCAAAGAGAAAGGATATGGGACATGAAATGCAGGAGTGGGAAGAGAGCCATTAAGTACATGAGGCAGCTAAATTCCACAAGTTGAACATGGGTGTCTAACGTAGGTGGTGAGGCAAGTGATGGTTCTGAAGACATAAGCACTACTAGAAAAGGCAAACTAGAGGATTCAAACAATGATCCACAAGAACCTTGTCTTCAACATGTACATTAGAGGAGGCTGGAAAGAAATTGCATAGTACGCAACACATAAGGTCACTTCAACTTAGATCTTACTCTGACCAAAGTCTTAGTCTGCCACCCAGTAATTAAATGCTGGATTTCACAAGTGAGCAGAGGTTTAAAATATTTTCTGATTCTCAGTAATATTCGCTGCAGTGATTCTAGACACTTTTGTTAGATATGTAAATGTATTGCAGTCTTCTGCTGCAATAGCTATTCTGTTGCAATATTCTGCATTAAAGAACAAGTAATTTACTATTCCTCTCCCATCAAAGAAGCAATGAACTCCCCAAAGGACCTTGTTCTTTATAACATCTTTCAGTAAAAAAAAAAAAAGTCTCATGTTCATTTTGCATACTATAATTAAAAATAAATAAATCAATTTTTTCTCAGCCACTATTAACCAATTCAAGTACACTTTGATGAAGATTTCTCTGATGACTACTATGGCTACTAGTAAAAACACATTATTTATAAAGTAATAATGACATTGTTTTTAAAGACTAATGGATAGACTTCAGGCTATTGAGTCTGCTTTTAAAGGTTGGTTTGTTCAACTTTTGATAGATTAGCTTAGTTTCTGGGATTTCTCTTGAATTATGTGAACAGGTTCATAAATATTTCTGTTTAAAAGGTGGATATGGAAGTCAAATATTCTGAGTTTGACAGGGGGGAATAATATTTTGTTAGCTTCTTTACAATGTTGAGAGAATCCATATGGAGGTCAGACTTCTGATTCAGAAGCACGTCATTTTCCCTTCCCAGGCAAACCAAAGACTGGTCTAGAAGTGATACGGGTGGTGCTAATTTTCAACATTGTCTTCAACAGGAGGAATAAAAACATAAACCATAAAGTATAACTGGGCAAAGACTAAATGCATCCCTGAAGGTATCTGCCAAACATGACAGTTTCATAATGTCAACCCTCCATTCAGCACTAAAAAATCTAATTTCTAGCTATACATAACATTTTCTACTATATTTTCCCCAAAGTATCAAGACATGCATGCTGCAGCTAGGCAGTCTTGAAGCTAACAAAAGTCTTTGGATTTGAAAGCACTTACCAGAGATTTATTTTCAACAGGAATAAATCCTTGACTTTGCATGCACTCAAACTAGGGCTGCCAAAATAATCCCCTCAGGGAGAACCACCAGGAAATGGGTCCACGACAAGCAATGTCTAGTGTAGAAATCACCAAAAATAAAGAGTGAGGGAAGAACTAAGGCATCAGCACACATACCAATCTTCAAGTGTCATTATTGATTGGATAATCAAAAACTGCATTGCTCAATAAGGACAGCAGCTAATCTATATAGTAGTGACAGGGAAACAAATCTAATTTTAGTTGTGGTTCTTTTGCAACATGAGAATTAAATATATAGTATATACACACACACACACATATACATACATTCTTTTGTAATTTTATTAGCCCAGATAAACTACACTGATGTAGAAAACAAATCTAATGTTATCATGGCACAGATATATACATTTATCAGAGGTTATCACATAAAAATTAGAAATATCTATTATTACAAAAAAAAAGATCTGTGCAGTTTTAATCTCAATTCATGATTCTTTACTGCTGAATAGCCTACGCCCTTTCCCCCTCTCAAGTCTACCTTTTAGATAATCAAGCTAATAAACTTACAAAAAGCCTAATTCCATACCCATATCACATTTTTAACGTCTAATTAGCTAGGTCACTTCTGAAATTAAGATATAGCTCTTACATTTTTTTTTTCAGTCATTTTTTCCACTGTGTTATAATGTAAAAAATTAAATTACTGATCCTTGCTTCTATTTTACTTTTTTGAATGCTAGAGTAACAATTGTCATTCCATCACTGTAGAACCAAGCTCAGTTTCTGTGTTAGCATTTTTCCTTTGTACTGATTTTTTCTAATAAGTAATAACAACACATGACAATAAAGAACATTTAGGCTTTTGAGATGAAGCACATACATTTTTCACAGTGTTTATTTTATGGTTCTACTACTAGTGAGAACTCTTATTTCTGTGGTCTCACTCTACAGAAATAAGTTATGTTTTTAGCCAATATTCATTTTTTATGAAAATAAAACAACAAAATACAGTTCAAAAGATTCCATATTTTTCAAGACTATGAAAAACAACAAGAAAAATTAAAATTAAACACAAAGTATTTCCACCATCTCTGGCTTCATAAAGCATTGCCCATTACTCGGATGCACACACAAGACATTCAGATCACTTCTATTTACACATTGTAACAAATATTTAGCTATTTTTAACTGCTTACATTCTCTCTTCCACTGAAAATTGATTTTATTTGCTCATAAATGTCAATCACTAGAATCCTATGGTTCATAACTGAAGCTTCTACAAAATAAGTGTTCTGAGTGTGGATATTTTAGATGGATTTAGTGAAACTGTGCTTGGTCTTTTTCTGGGGTTTACTCAAGCTCAACCTCTGCCCCCAATTTAAGCAAGCACTGGAGAACGTCAAGAGAGAAAAAAAATTAATTTGTGACTACCTCTTAATTCTCAATGTTAGGTGAGCCAAGAAGCAAAATGAAACCTCTCAGTCTAACACACACACAAGACTATATTCAGTTTGTAAAGCTTCTATTCTCTTAATTTATCTATTTAATATTATGCTTTTCAGGTAGAATAATCATTGCTTTCTATGCCTACCTGCAGCTGCTATGAAAAGCTCGGCCTTAATTTTCCTCTATCTGATCATGTATTAGCATAATGTTAATTTGCTATTATTATTAAAACCATCAACAGGAAAGAGTCCCTTATTTTTACAGTCAACATGATACCAATTCACAAGACAAGTGTAGATTAGTATTGCTATTGATTTTACCCATCAGCATCCATAGACGTCACCTGATATTCCATAAAAATGAAGCAAGAAAGCATGTTCTATGCTGTTTCAAGATCACATTCAAGAAGGATATTCAGGAATCATATTCTAAAAATTGTTAACACCCTAAGTAATGGTCTAACCACAGATGAATCCATACTTGCACATGAAGCAATGTATAGATTTCAAGAGTCACTAGGGACTCATCAGTGTGATAGATAATTTTTTGGTGGAGAGAATATATGGCTGCTTTAATCCTCACATCATAACTGTAAGATTGAAATTGCCAGTTCTGTGCCAGTTTATGGCAGTACTGTTATTCAGCAGCTTTAGGTCCGATCAGCTATTTCAAACTCTCTCTTGGCTGTAGCTTGAAAAGAACAAGGGAAGACACAGAGAGGCAAAGGATACTTAAAATAAATCTTGGCTAGTGCAGTGGCTGAGGAAAGAGTTACACCACTTTATCACATATCCTTTGTACGATGTTAAATCTAAATTAATTAAATAAATCAGGTTGATGAAATCACCCTATAAATGTGACAGCACATCATAATTCACTGCAGCTGCAAGAGCAGGGAGCAGATGGAAGACGTTGGATTTTTCTCTGAGCTGAAGTGCCATTTTGCAGGTCCAATTCTATTTCTTTTAAGATTACTACAAGTGCATGTGTACAAAGGGCCTGATTCTGCAGCTGCTCCTTGCACAATACTTCACTGTCAGGAAGTTTTCCACAAAAGCAAAGCAGCTGCAGAACTGCACCTTTCACATTTCTTTCTCTCACAGGAGAGGAAATCCTGGCCTGTGTAACACCAGTGGAACTGAGGACAAAAGTTGGCTTTAAGTTTAACTGTAATCAATTAACAAGTGAAAGGATTGTCTCTGTTGCCTTCTTACATGGTACATTAAACATTTCTTTTAACAAACACATCCGCATCCTCTGAAGTTCAAGCTTTAGTACCAACAAGCGATCCACATTTGGTGCATTGCAGGTGGCATGTCAAACAAAAGTACTTGCTGTAGGCTAGGTAAGACTGAAAGTTATTAATTCACCTTTAAGCCATACAAAGTGAACAAGGAGAAAGGGAAAATAGTACCTAAGCCAGGAGTCTGCGCAAGTAGATTGACTGCACATGGAGCTGTGAGCTGCTTGCAGTGTCTTGCAGCTTGCTAGAAACTGCCAGAGCTGCCTTGCTCTGTATTTTATTTTTAAAGAAGTAACACAATGATGTGGGAAAAAGGGTGTGGGGGGTATGTGTGTGGGAGAAAGAGGCAGCTCTTCGACTCTATTTTCATCTTCTGGATTCCAGAAAAAAGGCAGAGTGCAGAGTAAAATGAGTTGTCTTGAGGAAACCAGCATGCATGCTGTGCCCTCTCCTGTGGGAGACAGTTATGCTGAAGAATCAAATAAAGTTGACTTGAAATAACTTGTAGTCACACGAAAATCTATCAAAGGCAATACAAACCCTTCTGTGCATTTTGATAGATTCAGGTTTATGTTGTTGTTGTTGTGTTTTGTGTGTGTGTGTGTTTGTGCGTGTTTGAGCGTGTTGTTAGTTTTTTTGTATTTAATTTTCTCTGAAAATCATCACCAAGGTCTGATAAGCAGCAAAGTTAACTTCCAAAACATCAGACAAATGGGAAAGGAAAACTAGGGAATCTGGATCATGACGATATCTGGATACCATGCTATGACAAATGGTAACAATTCATGTTCTGCTCTTGCGAATACAGACCCAGGCTGCAGGAACATTGGGATTCATCTCCTCATTTAAAGCTGGTCTCAGAAATAGAGTTTCATATTGATAATATATTATGTGTTCTCATGAGTATCTGCCTAAACACTAAACTACTGAAGATGGTAAAAGATTAAAAGACCCCTATTTACTGAGAGCATCATCTGATATTGACTTAATGCATGGACAGAGCTCAAGCTATAGGCAGGAAGATGGACAGATCTGAAGCTATAGGCAAGGAGATGGTCTTTTTCTACTGAGGTGTCTGGACATGGTAACTATGCTGTGCCTCCCACAGTTTGTTGACAGACATACATGCAAAGAGAGGTAATGCATTTATCCTAAGGTGAACATTAATCATGATTGGAGTAGTTAAAATTTCAAGAGTTCGCAGAAACCAGATTAATAGAATACAGTCAGAACAGAGCTGAAGAAGTTACATGATGTTACTCTGCCTTCACACATCATTGTCACACTTTTACATCTGATTTTAAAAGTCTTCTGTACATCATTGTAGCTGCCACTCATTAGGTTATAATTCTTTCTTCCTATTCTTCTTTTAGGCATATTTGAAAGCTTATATTTATTAAGTAATCCCTTACTTAAGATCAAGAGTGAATGTTTTATCTACACTAACTTTACAGCCTTAGAACTACAAACCACAGGTCCAAAACATTTGCTTTTATATTAATTTTCAGATCTCAAACAATTGCTAGATACTTGCAGCACATTTATATTGGAAGATTAACATTTATATTATTCCTCTAACACCGGTAGTCCAACAGCCTATTTGTCAAGATCAGGTTCAAACACTAATAATGCCTTCCAGAGAGTGAAACTGCTTAGCAAAATATCTGTTATCTGCTCTAGATAAAAGACCTTAACTGGTTGCTGAGAAAGTTCTAAAGAACATATGGTGTGCAACAAATTTATTATACAGCTCATGGCAATATAGACTTTGTTGTTGTTTTTGGTAATTTGTAATAATCCTTAGCTGTCTGCTAGCTTGCATGTAAAAGGTGAGTTTGCTCCTCACACAAACTGGCTTCTCTTGAAGGTAGCTGACTTTGCTCGAAGCGGTTGTTCATAATATTTCAACTAAACACCGCAGACTGAGGTCCTCTCCAGAAGGAAATGCCTGTATCACTCCTGTATCCCAGAACCCTTGGTGGTGCAAAATTTACTAGAGTATTTTTCCCCTCATCTCTCATGAAAAGGGACACAACAAGCCTGGTAGTTTTTCACAGAAAATATGATTTAGTACTTAACCAGAAAGAAAAGCAGCTTCTACCCAATAACCCGATCAACGAACGTTAATCTCTCTCCCCCAGCAATGTCTTTACTTATTAAGAGTCTTAAAGCAAGAAGGTTAATATTAGTTACCACATACATCACAAGCTACACAATAATCAGTGTTTTTATAGGCCAAATACAAACACTCACTCCAGCGTTCAAGTGTAGTATTTACTGCTATGTGACTGCTGTGAGCTGAAGAGGAGTTTTGTAGACTTACAAGTCTGTTTTATCCAGGAATAACAGGTGATTTGAGATACAATCTTTCCCTCTAAACCTTTCAGTTGCTTACGCTGCCAT